TTATCGATTGAGGAAAAAATATTATGTTTGTTGTACATTACTTTTACATAACAATTTATTGGGTTCGAGTTTGTTTATCTAATTAAAGAAGTTAAGTTCTCACTATTTATTTTATAAGATTCCTTCTACATGTGTCTGTGATGTTACTGTGTTTTTATCAATAAGTAAGTATATATTATATATATATGTAGATTGAGAGAGAGAGAGAAAGTGATTCGTAAAACAACACAAAACTTACAGAATTAATATTTTCCTTAATTTTCTTATATGCCACAAATATTCACAATTTTAAATCCCCTTCCGCAACGAATAAATGAAATTATGAGAAATGAGACATACTGAACAACTTCAAAGCGAATCTTTTCCTTTTGTGTTAATATTGAATAGATTTTTTTTGTTTTCTATTTTGTATTCCCTCAAAAATCTTCGTTTATAATATATAATACTCGATAGCAATGGAATTTTTTATAATGAAATATCATTTTAATAGAATAATGAAAAAAAATATTATAAAATAAAAAAAATATTATAATGAAAAAAAATAATATTATAACATGATTTAAAAAGTACTAAAGCATAGAGGTGAGGGTTTTAATAATTAAGTTACCCCTACTAATATTATAAATACGAGAGTAACTCTGTCTGCAGTGACGTTATCACGCCTAAGCCGTTGAACCGATTTTGATGAGATTTGGTATAGAGATAGATGAAATTCTGGAGAAGGCATAGACTGCCGTTTATCTCGATCCCGATCAGGATCCCAAAACCACACCGGTGGAACCATGAAGTGCAGTTTGGGTTCATTATCCGTAGTGCTATTTTTTACCCTTATCCCATTCCCACTCCACAGTGGTTCAAATCCAAGACTTGCGGATAAAGCTAGTCCTAAATAAATAAAATAATGTATTCAATATTTGTACAAAATTAACCGAGTCGCAATTAATATATGAGTAAAGTTATTGTTAGCTTTGTACACGTCATATGAATATCTTTATTTTACTTATAGTATCCGGAAAATCATTTTAATTTTTCAACATCTTATTTTTCATACAAAACAATTATTTCCTATAAAGTAATTTTATGTTTATATGCATATGGCCTTAATTACAATAACAAGAGTAAAATTATTAATATATAATCCCCCTCTTTCCCCAACCTCTCAAATACTATGCTGTCTTTTCTTAATATCTAAAGAGGAGCGTCATTCAAAGGTGTAATTTGAAAACAAATTATGTTCTGTAACTATTAATACACAACATGTAACTCTGTATTAGTTCTATTGAACCCTAATATTCTATAGTATATATATTTGTATAGACTCCACACTATTATTACATCAAAGCAACCTATTAGCTCTTGAATTCAAAGTAACTAAATTAGATTCAACTCAATCGTTTAGAAATAGATTATACTGAAAATTTAGCACAATGTGTTTAGTTAAAATATGGATGAAAAGATCTTTAATATCTTACTTATTTTAAAGGTTAATCAAATAAAAAAAAACTTGTAAGCATACATCTATATATATAAAAGAAAGTCGTGTTAGTGACTTCACTTATAACTCAAGAACGGGTGAACCGATTTAGCTGAAAATTGGCAGGGAGGTAGTTTAGAACCAGGAAATTCCAATAGGATACTTTTTATCCCGTTCGACAGCATTCCCGTGGGACTTGACATGAAACGTCAGTCACTATAAAACGTGGAATAACACAATTGACAGCTATGCAATTGACGTATAATGACATATGTAATGACGTATGGATGACAATTAGATATTTGTAAGAAATCTACTATATAAAAATAAAAATATTTAGGTATTGTGTTTGTAGATTGAACTCTTAAAACCATTTAGTATTTGCGGGATAAATTTAGAAAATCATTGTTTTTCACATGGGCAGTTATATTTTGCGTGTTCACGAGTTTGGAAACCATACGCTTTATTTGTGTTAAAGTTAGACCAAAAAACAAAAAAGGTGGTTTACAAAGGAGCACTTCAATGAAACGGATAATTTGCGGACACGTATAACGCTTCGATTCGGTATCTACTTTGGATTCACTTTAACTAAATAACACTTCATTTTTGTAATCGAAATGAATTCATTACTGTTGTGAAATGAAATAAAAATTTTCCTTTTCAAATATAAAACAAAAAATTCTTCATCTTTTAATCACCAAACGAAATGTTATATAAAAGCCTTCTGGTGGCGAAACGGAGTTCGCCAGGTTTACTAGTTTATATATAAAAATGTCCATAACAATATTTTTTTTAATAAAAATAATGTTTGTCATTTCAATTTATTGAAGAAAAAAAAATTATACTAAAGCTATTTAATATTATTTTTGGTTAAAACAAAAGATTTATATTTTTATTTCCATATTATCCCTTACTACGTCACTTGCAGATTCCTAAATTCGTTTATTATTTATTCTGTCTCTCGACGCGTCAATTATTTTGTCACGTAGAATATGTAAAAGAAAATGTTTTCATGTCATAGTTATCTTTGTCCTTCCCTTTCATATAGTTATTATTAAAGTTATCAAACGATATTAACTGCAGTTTACTTCAAAAAATTCGATACAATAAAAATGTTTTAACCGAATATCAATAAAAAGTATTGCTTTAATAGTTCAACCTTAATTAAAAGCTTTTACAAAAAAACCAATTACATCCAACAATTTCAATTCTTATTAATCAATAGCTTGATTGAAATATATGTATATCGTTACAGTTTGTATACAATAAAACCGTGCTAAATGAAATACTTCTATATGTTGGAGGTTATTACATTCCGGTGTGTTGTGCGTATAAAGAATGGGGTAACTAAAATCAACTGACCAATTACTATGTCATTGGAAGTTCCAAGTCGTCCACTCACAGAATTTATACACTTCATCCAATATTACTTGACAGCGTTTGGTTTTACGTGTCAGTATTGCAAGATCGTCAGCGAAGGCTAAAATGGATTCTATGTATTATTGAACTTGAACCGATACCCCTATTATCTGTCATTGCTGATTACTTAGATATTAATTTTAATATTAAATAGGTACTATTGGTGCTAAACAACAACGTTGAAATAGTCCTACATTGTAAAGAATGTTTTTGAAGGGCTTTCTTTAGTTACTATAGAAAAGTTTAATTATGAGTAATACGCCGCGATCATATCACTTAATAGGGGTAGAAAGTTGTACCATTTTATCGCGAATAGTATTAATTCATGTAGTATCGACCCGAACACGTTCTTTAAGTCTATTCAACAAACTGTAATTGGCTTCTTACTTTTCCTAGAATCTTTTAAACTCTCCGACAGCAAAGTTTCCGGCATCCAGAAAACCCCGGTAAAAATCCTTTCTGATGAAATGGCCTAAAATACCTGTTGCTGAGCATGAATCGCGTCATTCTCGTTTGTATAACTGAGAAAAGGTTTATAGATATAATATTTGTTAAAGCTATCGGTCTAGTATCGTTCGGATCAGTAACTCGATCTCTTTTTAGGAATGAAGACAAGACAAGTTCCCGAAGTATTCCGGGATTTGCTTTTTTGACCAGGTCTTACTGATGTACCGGTTGGAACAAGCTGCTTGGTATTTATTCCCTTCCACTTATATTTTAGAGGTCAAGTATAGAGCAATCAGGCTTTCACTAAAATAGTGCACTTATTATTTAAGGTGATTTCTACTTACCAGATGAGATAAGAGTCAAGCACGTAAACAGCCAAACTAGCCGTATAAACTTCATTTAAATGTAACTCAAAACTGTATACCTAGTTTCATTTCGCTCGAAAAAAGTGCTAACAACTAATAGCAATTTCCACGTGTCACTGATTCTGTATAAAGGTGACGCTTGCTGCAATATTACTTATGTAAAATAAATTTATGTTTTATATCTTAGGAAAGAGAATCTTCTTTCTGATTATCTTACTTGTATGAGTGAAGCGATGTTTCTCGGACAACAAACAGCTTCACACTAATTTGTTTTTTATAGACCTATTTTAAATATAATTATTATGAAGTTATGTCAGAAAAAACTCAAGTTTATTTATATATTTTAAAAACTCTTCTGAATAGTCCCATTACCCATTAAGAAAGAATCAAAACTCAATAAACTCGAAAACCAACAACGTTTCATTAATATATTGTTTTCTATAAAAACTTTTAAAAAAGCGAAACATATTTAGTAAATGGTCCAGAACTATCAATAAAAAACTGGCTGTCAGGTTTATCAAAACAAAATTTAGTTATAGAACATATGAAAGCCATTTTAATTTTACAATATATCGTTGGCCTGTAAAATGTCAACTACATTTTATCATACGGAACGAAAACTGTAATTTAAAAATCTCTATTAATTTGCAATAGATTATAAATAAATGAGAAAGTATAAACGATTTAAAAACTCAATAATGACATTTATTCAAATACTTAGCGAAGTAATTCCAATATCACGTTTCAATGATCACGGATGAGAAGTACCTATATTATTACAATTTTATTCCAATATTCAAACAGTTTTAAGAATTCACTGAAACACTCAGTACAGTTAATGTAATAACATTACATTTTCTTATTATTATACATTTAATATTTTATTATTCTTAGTAAATGAAAACCTTTATTATTTTTTATGGAAAGAAATTTCTTTGTTTAAAGAACGAAAGCTATTTTTTACAACTCCAAAGAAGTTATAACGCTTTTTTAACAAATTGAAATATTTAGGACGACACGCGAATAATTGTTACAGAAAATATATTTAAGTAAAGTATTGAAAATGTTTAAATTAATAATTTATGATGTGTTTCAAAAATCTATAAATCAGATGAATATCATGGACAGATTATTTTTATTTTTTTATTATTTGAACAAAATTTTAATTAATCAATCGTGCAAAATTCTGTCATCATTTAAGTAAATCCTTACGGGATCAGTACATCACTATGATCTTACAGAACAAAGTCACACAATAATCCCGATTCAACAGTTATTAAACGGAATGTATCGCGTCACGCGCTATCCCACGGGACCGTCAGCCCGACGTCCCTGTAGCGACTGCTCGTAAATCCTAGATCCCGTCTAGGGAAGCCCTCACCCCCCTCCCTTAACCAACCACCCTCTCCCCCGCTCCCGTCGCTGGGGCAACGGCATTGAGGCTCACTGACAATACAAATTAGATGCGGTTTATATATATTACAACAATTATGACGTCATAATACATACGTATAATAATGTATACGACGCTTTTATTTCATACTTTAATAAAAATACATTTTTTGTTTATTATTAAATATAAAAAAATAGTTTTTGTGAAATAATAAAGTTGAATTATTATTTACATTTATTAAGAGGGATTTATCATTGGAATTTTACAAATATTATTCATTGAACTGTAAAATAACTCTCGCAAATAGCTTCATGTAAATGTAAAGCTTGTAAGTTCTCAAATATCTTGTATAATAACTCAAACTCTCATGTAAATAGTTGAATATTATAGTTTCAGGGTTGTGACGAAGGTTTTTGTTAGGGTTTCGACAACTATTTAATAATTTACCTGACGTTAATTAGAAGGTTCAAAGTTTCGTGTATCTTTATAAAGGTAAGGTAAATTATAATTTATATAAATTATGAAATTAAACATATTTTTTCTTAATATTTTTTTTGTGATAAAAAACATCAATTCTTATATTCTAATTGTATCGTGAATAAGGAAACCCCGAGATGAAATTTTGACTTACTTTTATTTTCTACATCAAAAGTTCTCTTGAAGTTTTTATGACCCAATTATATTTACAAAGTTTTCATGATATAAAAAAAGTCTTGTCATACATACGAAACTAATTAAGTATTTTAGTCAGACAAATTTAGTTGTGACGTTACCAAGAATGTTAAAGAAGTCGATTGATAACTATAAATAGTAATATGTTTACCACAAGTAACGTCAGGTGAAAAAACGAGTTTTAATTATATAATTAGTTTTCTCCTTCTATATATGTTTGACATGTAATAAAAAATATGTAAATTTTTGACATAATAATTAATGAAAATAGTTTTTTCTGCCCACTCGACTCTCTAAATAATTATAAATTGAAAAACATTGTAAAGCAAAGTTCAACGTGTTCTGTACCGACATTTCTATTAACCTTTTACAAAATGTTGCATGTTTTTTTACAAACTATTTGAAACACTTCTATTTACTTAACTGCTTTGTACACTTTTTTAAATACTATTTTATATATACTTCATTTCCTATAGTTTGTGTTAGTATTAAATAGTTTTATTAACACAAATTATTCCGAATTGTTCAACTTTCTTTGCACTATTTTCTCCGTTAATTTTTTTTATATTTGACGTTGAAAAAGCGAGAAAAACTATATATTTCAATAAATAATGTAATGCTTTTCACGCTCACACAAACTTAATGCACGAACGGATAATAAACAAGTAAGGCATAATGTAAACCTTCGTTTATTGACAACTGAAACGAGAAATTGTTACGCATCTTTATATACATACATACATATAATCATATATCATTATGATGTGAATAACTTAAAGTAAACATATGAAAAAATTAATTATTTATTGATGCAAAAAAAAATAATAATTTAAAGTTAATTGTAGTTAGTAAAAAAATATTTACATTGTTTTTTAAGATCGTCACTAAAATTAAACATATCTTAAATCTCAAAATTTACATAATTTTTGAATGAAATAAAAATTGTTAACACTCTTAATTTTCGAGCATAATATGTATGATTATTGATTAGTATATCATATTAACTTAATAAACAATAAAGAAATTCAAGAAGACGAGATCAGTTAGAGATGCTGAACACACTGGTCGTCTAAAAAGTTCTATCTGTCTTTTCAATATAATATAAATAACTGAATGAAATATTCCCTTGTTCTGTACTCTTATTTAAGTGATCACATCTTATGATTAACATCATTAGATTTAATTTAATTTAATTATATGTAATCAAACGTCCATATCAAAACAGTCCTATCAACCTTACGTAAAGGGAAAATAAAATTCTGCATCAACAAAATTCAGTTTCTATAGAAAAATACTCATGGAAATTTTAGATAGAACCTTATATTACCAACAAGATCATTGAAGCCACTTTTCTCATATATTTAATCGTAATTTATTCAATCGTAAAATATATGGAAAAGTTATCCTATAAATAACTTTTATTCTATAAATAACTTTTCCATATGTTTTACGATTGAATAGACGATTCACAATGTGAGTACTAAAAGTTGTTTTGTGTTGAAATCATTCATTATATTATTTAATCCAATACACATACATATATATGTACATATACATATATTTATATAAATACATACACCTTTCTAGTCTTTTTATGGAATATCATTATGCTTTAATCTCGATTCTTACTTTGCTTGTAAGAGATATCTACCAGGCTGCCTTTTGTGTTTCATTACAATACTACCTATAGATAAAGAAGTAGGTTTAAATATAAAAGATGAACGTACCAACATTTAATTATATCCAATTACTAGTTTTTGCTCGCGACTTCGTCCGCGTTAATTTCGTCATTAGTAATATAGGTATAGCTGAGCGGGCAAACTCTATTCCGTCTTCAATAACCCGGTATTGGTATTAATTAAATTTCTACTGTTTCAATTGATCAGAATGATTGACATATTAGTTAGTTGTCAAGTCTAATGTCAAAAAATCGTTTGTATGGGAAATAGAAAAGGGCTATTTTTAGGGTTTTCCCGGCAATAATTCCAATTTTTCTCACCTTTTAAACCTTCCCTGGACTTCCAGGAGTATTTCGAGACTAAAATTAGCTAAATCGGTTTAACCGTTCTCCAGTTTTAGCGAGACTAAGGAACAGCAATCCATTTTTATATATATAGAAGATATTAATATTTGAAGAACTTAATTATCATATATGGTGATGGAGATAGTTTTAATCAATGTAAATATAATAAAATCATTTGACTTCGCTTGTTACCTTTAATCATATTTGCTCTAAAGTCTAAACTATTAGTATATACCACTCCTGTCAGCTTATATTATTATATATCTCAGGTCCTGCGGGATCGTGGTCCAGATGACCTAAATAATGTCTAGAATTTATCTTGTATTTGAGGCATACCCTAGTTGTAATTACAACTAGATTTACTGTGCTTCGTATAATTTATAAACATTGACGGTTATATTTTCAAAGTGTATTATATTTTACTTTTAGTGAGTGAGTTTATCTACAGTAAAACTGTTATTTATTTTGTTGTAATTGTTAACGAACTATTTATTCTGATTCAAACATTATTTTAATCTAATTTTGAAACTATGTTAAATGTTTAATTAACATCTATTTAAATTAAAATAAAATAGTTTGTGTTATGACTTCAAATTTAATGCATAAGCAGTTTACGTCATTTGATTTTCAACCTTATTTTATGTAAACATTAATTAGTTTTTCGCTTCTCCCTCTACTAGTGTATCGACTATCGAGTTCTACTAATATCCTCTTTATATATCTCGAATTATATTTTAATTAACACATGCTCTATATGTACAATATATTAAGGGTTTAAATAATATAAAAATACGCTTTTATTTTAAAGATGTGTTCTTAAATAAATGCGAAAAAAATTACTGCCTTCTTTTACAATGTGGTAAAAGTGTTAAAAAAGATTACTTTAATCATTTTTTATATTAAAAGGGTTTAAAAGGAGATCTGTACTTTATTTAATATTCCTATATAATAAATACCTTATACCTAATAGATATTAAAATTAATAAAACGTTTTGATCTTACATTTAAAACTTACAAATAATGATAGCATATGTTTAATAATTTAAAAACTTTAGTAAGCCGTATTTACTAGTTAACTTAATACGTGGAAATGTCAAGTTTTAACGATAATGTCGCCTTACCGTAAATCCAATGCCGACTGTGGCTGAGAAGTTTCCCGGTTGAAACTTGCCCGTCTCGAATTGTACTAGCAGCGATGTTTTTCCAACGCCGCTATCACCGAGAAGTATGGTCTAGAAGACATTAAATGAATCATTATTTAATAAAGATTTTCTTATATATATTTATCAGTGTCTGAAATTTATCTGGGATTTTAAGTTTACTGAACTTCTATAGACGATATGAAGCTTACAGAAATGATTTCTATAATTAAGAATATAGTTTAAATCTGTTGAAATATAGTAAATAATAGTAGTACATTGAAAATTTATACAGATATACGAAGGTTTATTAGCATAGAATTCAAAGCGTATATAGGTACATCATATATACATACGTAATGGTTTTTGTTTTATTACGGAACATATACATGATACAATATACAGTTTATATATAATGATCACTGTTTTGAAGCTTAATATAATCAATATAATAAAATTATCTGTCGAAGTATTTATTGTTTGATATAAATAAAAAAAATGTGTAACCAATAATATTTTGCTAATAAAAAAAAATAAAAAATATTTATAATAAATCTTAATAGTAAAGTTAAACGCATCAAGGTACAGGTATGTATAAGCGACTGTAGATTCCGAAATGTTCAACCGGAAATTAACTATGAAGGTGTATCTGAAGTTAGTTCACGGAAGTATCAAATTAATTATTAATTTGAACTTATTGGAATGGGTTGTAAGTATTAGTAGGTATATTATTTAAAAAATATTTTTATTAAAATAGTTACATAGAAAGACATTAACTGATATCATGGAAGGAATAGATAAAATCTATTTTATTAATGTTAATTTTTACATTAGAAATGCTTTAAAGGGACTGTATTAAATGTGTAAAGTAATAAAAATAAAGTTTCATTAATATCATTAAAGTAGTTTTCGTTTTAAATGAGTAACAAACATCTGTACATAATCATAAAAATTCGCATTTATGTATATTGTTAGTAGGTCTTGGTGATCTAGTGGTTAAAGGCCCGCGTCCCATACGTGAGGGCGCGGATTCGATCCTGGCAAGTACCGATTAAATTTTTCCGAATGATATGTACTTTCTAAGAGTATTTAGACATCACTGACAAACTGTGAAGGAAACCCTCGTGAGAAAATCTGGACTTATTCCAAATTATAAGTTTGAAATCACCAACACATCTTAAGCAGACGTGGTGATTAATGCTCAAACCTTCTCCATGTGAGGAGAGGCCTTTGCTAAGTAATGAGCTCTGATAGGCTGATGATGATGAATATTGGTGTTGTTTACCTTATGTATGGGCATATCATCTTCCACGGTGCACTTCTGTCTGTCAGGTCTATAGTCCCTGTACCCCGTGGGTGAGGGGGTGCTCCGCTGAACAGGGGCTCGAAGAGTATCTTCCTCAAACACGTCGTCACTCATACTGTCGTCTGTACCGCCGTGCTATGATAAAATAATAATTATAGATACTTTCTTATATAACTTAACAAACAAATTCATTACGAATAGGTTTGTCCTTATTTTAAATTGGGAGTAAGGGTTGTAACAGCTAAATCTCTCTACAACCTATTTAAAAATACGGCCTGTAAAGAATTAATATGAATTCATTCTTGGAACGTACTTCGAAGGCAGCCCTTTTCAAATTTGGATAGGTAGAGAGAGTATTTAATTATTTTTTTTTTATTTAGTATTTATTTATTTTTATAAATATTTCATTTAAAATAATTTATTATTAAGTAAACAAAACTCGGTTTGAATTTTAATAAACAGATATTTACTCACACATAAATTATTGTTATAAAATGTTTTGTTAAAATGGTAATACAAATAACGAAAGGGTTTTTAATTTGCATTTGTTTTACATATTTGTTTATTTTCTATTAATAAAGTAAATGGGTAAAGAGGTCGTTTTTAAAAATTTTATAGTTAATTTATTATTACACTTTAATTTTGATGTCTTGTGTTATAATAAATTAGAGTATGTTTAAATAAAATAAAATTATTTTGATTCGTATAAGAAATGCTAATAAAAATGTCTTTACGAATGAAGAACTGGTTACGTTTCGTATGTAGTGTGTCCTTGCAAACCTGTTGTAAGCATACACGTGAGGTCTTTACTACCCTAAAAAAATAACTTATTCAAAGAGGATTTATGAATATAAACAAGATAAAATCAAAACTATATTAATTTATTAAAATATGTGAAATATTTATAAATGATTTAAATCATTAACCTGCATCTTGTTAACTCTCAAATAAAACGCTTCTTACGTCTTGGTTTCTCTAAAACTCTATGGGGTCTTGAAGTCACCCCATGATCACGTCTCTCTAATAACCCTATATGTATTCAATACCCCCATCTCCAATCCTAATCCCCATCCCTCCTGTATCTATGTTTAATATAAACATATATTCAGAGACAATGTGTCCGTCCGAGCGTGCAATACTCTCGTCGTCCCTATTGTGATATAGGTTCAACCTGACAGATAATACACAGTATTGAAGTCCATCGCTAATTATAGATAAAGCTCTGATTATGATAGGTTTCATGCTATATAATGATATGATAATCTATATAATATATATCATATTAAACTTAATCAAGAACATAATATCATATCACAATAAGCGTACGTGCAAATTTTTTTGAATGTCTTAATTTTTTTTTCTATCATGTGTCGCATGTCACATTACAGCCGGCTTCGGAGTGGGGATCTCGTAATAGCACTCGGAAGCGCTTGGTCGTTAAAATCAACGTACAGCATTTACATTTTAATGTTTTCGTAAAAGTGCTCCGCAGTATTTGCGAGTTTTAAACAGTTATTTAAATAAATAATCTCCTTTTAAGATTGATATTTCTCATTCATATTAAAGTTTCTTTTCATTTAGTATTCCGTCCTGTAATAAGCTGATTTACTCTAAAATGTAGTCTCACATTTTCGATAGTACTATTTTTTTTATTATTATTAAATCAAAATTTAAAATTCAATATTTAATATGGAATTTAGTTATAACGTAACAAACATCATCTGTTCATATCATAAAAGTTTAAAATTACGTGTCTTTGAACTAAATTACGAATTATTGATAAAGTTGTATAAACTGTTTGCGTGTTTATATAAATATTTCAAATATCACATGTCCATATTTTCGATACAATATACCTGCTTACAATATTCTCTAATGGACCACTCTATAAATAAAAATATTTCATTTTAGTCCACAAATTGCACTTCAACAAAAATAAATCACTTTACCCAAACCAACTCCCGTTTCAACGTTCGCTGAATGAAATTTTAAAAATAAAATTCATTAATTTCAAGGCCGCATCGCTTGTGATAAAAGCTTTCATCGGACGATATTATATTAGCTCCGAAAAGTATCTATGGACATAGATATTACTATTACTTTTAATACAAAAAGGATTAATTGAATACAAATATAATATAACAATTACTTCTTTCAATAAATGATTTGATAATCGTTAAATTAAAAACAACTAAATTGTATCGAAATTTAAGTTTTGAAAACAGCGCCATCTATTGATTAAGTCGCAAACTATGCTGTCTTCTGGCGACACGAGGATCTGGATATCAATTTAAGGAAAACCCTTTTATGTGATAGAAAAAAACTTCTACAAAAATGTAAATCATTCTCTTTATCAAACATATAAAACAAAAAACTGAGAATTGATATATATTATTAATTACCATCTTCAATTATATTAAAAATAAATACTTACATAATAATTCTATTTACTTTCGAAATACGTTCAAGTATGTACCTATACATATAAATATCTTTCTATATATAGGTGCAGTGAGTTAAAAATAAACGTTTATTTAAAACTAATTCTCTAAATAGGTCAATGTCACACATTCAACTGTTGAATACGTCCCTAACAGAATACATATATTGATCCCGCGACCGGTGTTGTTACTATGGGTTTATGGTTTATTTTATAGAGGTCGGTTACATATAACACTGTCACTATATAACATATAAAACTATATATAACAATCAATATATCATTTGAAAGCTCCGTATGACATTCAAAGCACTTCAACTATAGATTAGATATTGTACAATCAAATATATTATTTAAAAATCACAATATTTTATTAACATACTCATAGTTTCGGTCTTAATATTTGATGATTATTATGTTTTAATATATACTCACACTCATTTCTGTAAGCTGTACTCAATCCGTAAGTGCTCCACGAAATCTTTCTGAACACATCCTCGCGTATGGAGACGAGACCGTAACAAGCGGAGCACTCTCACGGACTACGAGTTATCACTGACACACTATCACTATCACTGTCACTATCACGCCTATCACAGCTATCACATCATCACGATCATAGAATCACATATTTTAAAGGTTATCCCCCGGAACAGTGATGTACGGCATATTGCAGAGGGTGCCGCTCCTTAAGGTTCATAATTGCATGACAAAAGATTCATGTGTGCGTATCATGTATATGTGTGAGTGTACGAATTCATTTGGATGTCTACGTCTTACGCAGACGTTGTATGTATGGGTGGGTGTGTGCGTGTGTGAGTGAAGCAGGGAACACAAGATATTTATTTCCAGAGATATTTTTGTCAAAATAAATTTATTTCTTAATATAAACTTTCTTATCTGTGTAAATTATAACTAGTTACAGGACTAAATATGATATTATGAACAGTTAATACTAAGTGCCCAAATTTAAAACTATAATTCTCATTTTTAATTAAGCTATTCACCTGCATTCTTTAAGCAATTTTTATTAATGATCCTATTTTTTTATCGATCTAAAACCCGCGCTTAATATTTCTCTACTCTTCGTTTCATATTTTTGAAAATTCATTCATACAATTCAAATCTTATCTTAAGACCGAACTGCGGATGTTTTATCTCGTGCGTTCGGAGTTTGTAAAAATCGATCCGTCCATATAAAACGAGGTACCTACTAACGGTTCTAAAGTCATGCGCCGTTCGCTTTCCGAATCGAAATCGTTTTTTACGTCAATTCTGTCACTAAATACATTACCGCTTCGAGTTACAAGTGACTTCGATAATGGTACTTTTATAACTCCCCGCTGTGTTTTATTAACACACACACGCAAACATATTATTCAATGACGGTCTATTTCCAATTAAAACGTCCAAAGCATTTTCAACCCTAGCATTAGACAATAGAGTCGTTGTTTATAACATGAAGATCGTCCGAATCTTATTTAGGGTGAGTTAAAGTGTTTTGAAATAGACATATAAAAATGTGTGTGTGCGAAAGAGACGGCAATTTAATCATATTCCATTATAGGAGTCACGTTTGCGAATTCCTTGCATATTTACTTACGCGGATTTAAAATATACGTGCCTTATCAGGGATCCGTCGATATTGTACAGAAAATCTATACATGTATGAACAAATATTAGTTTTCCTATATTTCATATTAACAGTATTTATTTATGTGTTTTAATTATATACAATATAAAACTATTACTTTTACTTTTTATTTATTATGAGTTTGTTATTTTTTCTTCTTTTTATTATCTCTTGGTACTCGTCATGCGCAGTTTGGCAGATCGATGTAAGTCTTGTTGTTGTTTCCATCCCTCTCGCACACTCTGTGCTCTTCACACGTCAAATGTCATTTTGACAGCACCGTGCTTTGTAAAGTCGATAACAGATGGCGTCACTTACCAGTTTTTATGAGTTCTTTATTTGATAAGGCTTATTTTGTAACGGTAATGTTATATGTACTTATTGCTGATTTCCAAATTCAGTAGTTTTTCATACGCTACAGTATTTTCTTGCCCATTTTTTTTATTATATCACTATAGTTTTATTTATTGAGCATAATATCGAATTTAAGACCTCGAAACTGGATTAACGACTTACTTTACGATCACAATCGGCTAACAAGCCGAGTATAACGGAAAGTGGTCGGGTTCCCACAGGCTTTTAAGGGTTTTGATTGAAACGATCGTTGCACAATAGCAGGAAGCACGGGCTAAATGTGGACGGCAACAAAAACAACATTGATGAACAAAAAAAACACAGCATCGAACCCGCCTACCGCAGACGAGAATAAACACGCGAGGGCCCGGAATGATACTATTGAAGCACTTAATGAACGAATATGAACTCTATCTTATTAGCATAGAGTAGAATTTAGCATGTAGTTTGTTTTCTTTTAATTTCTACCAAAAACCACGAGCTTAACCCTCCATCACTCGCGCGGTTTTTTAGCTCGTGAGCACTCGCGGGGTGTTGGGGCCACCCCACATACTCAAAGTACATTTAAACAAACATACTAGAAGTTAATGAAATTACACCTGTTTTTTATTATTTTGTGTAGTATAACGTTTGTAAATAACGTAACTAAATTTTATAATCAACTTTATTACTGTTCTACAAAACATTATAATAATCAGCCTTTTTAGTCATAATATTGAGATCATTTCTCAAAAAAGAAAGAAAAACAAAAAATTTCTTCGTTTTAACATATTTTTTTTCATTGAAAAACAAAATATAAGGATGAAATAACAAAATTAAATAAAAATTTCTTAGTTTTTGCAACAAGAACTGCAAATTAACTTCATGTGTTTTTGACACAAGGTTCTCACAAAAATTGCAGTGTCTCAATGTTTTGATGTCCTTAGAACGTGGACAAACTATACAGCGCTGCTTTTTTGTTGGCGACATTCCTTCGGTGCTTGATCCAGGAGCATTCAACATCCTCTTGAGTGCTTTCGGTAACCCTGGTTGTGAAGATCTTCTATCAAGGTGACCTTGAAGCATGCTCAAACCCAATGATTCCAAAAACTCACGCCTTTTCATGTTACATTGTTTATTTTTTTGATGTAAATATTTGTGCAACTAGTTATTTCTGCAATCATGTCGTCAGTAATAAAGAGTTGAAAACATTCAAGTGGAGATTTACAAGTTTTGGCATTACCTTTGGGACCGGGAGCTTCAGTAATTATATTGTGAGCGCGGGTTCTAGTTGCAGTACGACACTTGACTCTGTGCCATTTAGTTACTTTATCTTTTCCAATGTAATATTCTCGTTGTCGATCCTTAGTTTCAGCCTCTTCTACTTCAGACTCGGATAAAATATCCTGTTCTGATAAAGAATCATGATCAGATTCTTGAATAAAATCTTCATCCAAGCTGGCATCACTTTCCACTGCAACATTATCTTCGTTATCCGATATTATTTTTTCTAACAAAGCTGCCAATCTCGCTTGCTACTGTTCCCAGCTCATCTGAAAAGAAAAATAATTGAAAAAATATTACATACCTACAAACACAGAAAGGTACCTAATTAGAAGTGTGTGAAAACCAAAACCATTACATATATGCTTAGAAATACATAAATATACATTTATAGTAAACTAGAAGACCTGGCGAACTTCGTATCGCCCTATAATCAAGAAATATCTATTACGTTTTTTATTTATATTTTTGGAGTTTACCTGAAAGCCATAAATTTCCGTGTTTTGAAGTGCGACAGAATGATTGACATATTAGTTAGTTGTCAAATCTAATGTCAAAAAAAGCGTTTGTATGGGAAATAGAAAAGGGCTGTTTTTATGGTTTTCCCAGTAATGAATCAATTTTTTTTAGCTGTTATACCTTCCCTGAACCTCCACGCACATTTCAAGACTAAGATAAGATAAATCCGTTCAGCTGTTCTCGAGTTTTAGCGAGACTAAGGAACAGCAATCCATTTTTATATATATAGAAGATAAAAACACAAGTAAATAATTTATGTTTACAAAAAAGTTGAAATCACATACCTTGATGATAAAGTATCCTCCGCAAAAGTATAACACGAGCACTCGCGGGGTGTCGTGACCACCCCACGCAAACTTTGAGACGTCCTCACACTGCGAGAACTCGCGCCACGCTACTGCCCCCGCCCGTTTCGATGCGTTTACAGGTCACTTGAAGGTACTGAGACGAGCCAATACATAACTCAAGAAATTATTATTCTTTTTTACGTTCAAAAATGCGTGGGGTGCCGATAGCACCCCGCGCGAGTGATGGCGGGTTAAATTGTAGGTGAAATTATTCGTGAACGGGTCAAGTGACGAACAGAGTTCATATTTCGAGGATTAAAGTGAGAAAAAGGGTTTGTATACAATAGATAATTGAAAATTGTATGGATTATAACTTAATTTTAACTGTATAAGTTATACTTAGTCAGATTTTAGTAGAACTATTTTAATATAAATGAAAGTTAGGTAAACGATCTCACTGACGCGAGTTTGTAACATACTGTCCTTTTACAAAGTTGGTAAAGTACAATAAAATGTATTCCAAAATATTTTAATACAAGAATATTGATATATAGTATGAAGCTGTTCTTATAACAAAGGATTCCGAATACAAAAAAACTAAGGACGCATATTTGTAATAAATAACATTGTGTTATGAAATGAAAAGCTAGAAATGAGGTCCCAAATAAATGTTGATGGGTATTGCTCGTAATCCCTACTAATATTATAAATGAGAAAGTAACTCTGTCTGTCTGTCTGTCTGTCACGCTTTCACGCCTAAACCACTGAACTGATTTTAATGAAATTTGATACAGATACCTATAAAGTTGACCTTGATAAAGAACATAGGATAGTTTTTATCCCAGACTTTTGATAGGTTCTCTTGGAAACGCGATATAACCGAATTCCACGCGGGCGAAGCTGCGGGCGGAAAGCTAGTAGTCTATAAAAGATTTTTATTAAATTACTCAAAATGGCGAATGTCAGAATCAAGATAGAATTAATGATATGTCTGATGAGATGAGACCAATACTATATATATATATATATATACAGGGTGACTGGTGAATTACTACATATTAATATTTAAGGAGCATACTCGGTAGGTACATGATTCTCATTCGAATTATGTAAAAAAAATTGGCACTTAAGTTTTGACCAAATTTCCGTATAAATAAATAAAGTGTGTAAACGTTCCAAGTGTTCCAAGTGTGGACGCGTGCGGCGGCGTGCTGATACAACACTACGCCGCCACACGTGTGTGTGAGTGTGTGTGTATACCTAATCTGTAGGGTGTTCATACGATGCGTAATTAATTACATAACTTTTGGTTAACTTTACTTAGAAGTTTATTAATATTTATGTTATATTAATTTTTATTTTGTCATATATGATCGTCAAATATCACGTCTTCAAATATCGATAGTAATTCACCAGTCACCCTGTATATATATAGATTAATTATTGTAGAATGACCGATAGCAACACACTATATAAGGGCATGATAATTTTTATTGCCTTACTAAAACGTAATATTTTAATAAGAATACAGTCAGCTTTAGTTTTATTACAACTAATTATAACTTCAACAACTACTGTGTCAATTATATTGTTAATTCATTTAGAACAAATGAGTGATAGAAGTTATTTTGTTTGAACAACTTTCGGTATTAAAAGATGAAGCCTGTGCTCTCAGTGCATTATACATATTTTGTAAATCTGTCTTTTGTATAATTTGTGCCAATATTTATCCTAAACCATTCATAAATAAATCAGCTATAATTTTTTTAATTTAAATATCTTTTCTCTCATACATTTAGTTTTTTTTGCGTTTGGTCTGTTCTAGTGAACTCTCCTTATTTTTTCTTAAGTAATTTCACTTGTATAAAGTTTAAAGTAGGCCAAGTCCATTTTATTATTGAACATTTCATTTTAATGTAGGTGTATCTAAAATGTTAATTATAAGAGATGAGATGTTTGAAAAATTAAAAAGATTTTGTATTAATAAACTTTTACAGTTATACTTATTTCAGTAGAGTATAAGCAATTAATTTCCAAACATCTAAATACTTATTCTTTATAACAGACAATTAATGAATAAATACTTAAATATTAGGTACAATTTGTATTGTAGTCAGTGGTAACCTAGTGGTTAAAAGGTCCACCTCTCATGCACGAAGGCGCGGGTTCGATCCCGGCAAGTACCAATGTGATTTTGACGAGTCATATTATGCACTTTCTAAGAGTATTTAGTAATCATTGATTAATGCATTCCCAAAGAGGGTTGATGTCAGGCAGAAGGCCGGTTGTAAAAAAATAGCCAAAACTATTCACAACATGTAAGGCAGACTCTGGCTAAAACTGGGAAATTGCCAGGTAGAAGATATACGAGTACTTAAGTATATGAAATAGTCACCTTATATCAAATAGTCAAATATTACCTACCACAAGTTGCTTACGAAAAACAGACAGTGTAATATACTTAGTTATCATTGATATATTTTCTCACGTCATAGAATTAATTCAAGTTTATTTCATAATTTTTTAACGCTAACTATTTTTAATATTCCCGTGATTTCGAATGATACGAAACCACGTTAATTAAAAGGATTCTTTTTTTTTAATTTTAATAACTATCTAATATTTAATGATAATGTAATAAAATATAATTCTATCCAATAATATTATTTTATGTATAAAGATAAATAGTTGTACATTATACAAGTATGGACACGAGTTTTGTTATAATGGCTAAGAGATGGCGTTACTATACAGTGGTATATGATTTATGATAAAAAATGTTTCTTTTTTTACTTTTTATCTCCTATTTCTGAAGTTAAGATCTTATGAAATAAAAATTTATTATTCTTCATATGATATGAGTAATTTTAAGTATCATCATTGCCTTTATAAACATATTTTTATACATATAGTACTAAAAAAAATGATTATAGGCTTGCAAAATAATTAACATAGTAACTAAATGTATAAAAACAAACGGAAGTTTTTCATATAACACAAAAAGGCATAAACAATAAAATGATTCCGGTTATATAAGTTGTAAACATTAATGAAGCAGTAACTGTGAGATTTATAACTGAAAATTATTACATAATAAAAGTCATAATCAGGAATGATTTATATAACACTCCGACGGGACACCATTATCGCATTTTATGTCGATAAAAACTCGTTAAATATGTAAACCTTGTAATTATACCTAGACTTACTGCGGACACGGCAAGGTCACTCGGACGAGACGGAGCGGCAACGTCCGATGACAGACAGGGACGGAAATATACAATAACTAACGAGACAGAAAGAGATAGAGCTATGTCCATTGTGCATGCGAGTACTGATGTGTGCAACTCGTGACACGAGAAAGCGAGTCGAGACAAATTCGTAATCGTATAAATTAGAAAGGAGTTCTTATTTTAAATTGTTTTTTTTTTTAGAACGCAAAGACTCCTTCCATACATCCAGTGAAGTGAAGGCCGGCTGAATGTAGTGTGCCATGTTGAAATGGGAGAGTGTGATTTAGGCCTAATCGTACGGGAATTTTTATTTACCTACCTTAATATAATTTTTTATTATTGAAAATTGTTCCATTAAAATAATTAATGGTTTTTATTGAATAATATCATATTATTATTATGTTATAGTGGATGTTATTCTATTTATTTATGTTCGATGTGTTCCCGTAGGCCTATCTGTAATTGATGTCATTGTAAAATAAAATGCCTCTTAATAAAATATTAAATAATTATTATACTAAAAACAATATGTTGTATTTAATAAAGAAAAAAAATATAAACATTACGTAAAATAAAAATTAAAGTCCCTGTAATTATTATTTAATTACAAATAAAAACATATAAAAGTAATAAGGTACTATTATTCAAAAAATATATACCTATCAGTATAAAATAACTTGTTTTTTTTTAAGTTAGATATTTATAGAAAAATACATAGGTAGGTACTTAGGTAATAGGTATTTACATATATAAATAAATAAAAGTAATTAATAAATTATAACATTTCAATAATCTTTCATTTTTTAAAACGCCTAGACCGATTGTGATAATAATTTCTTAAGAAATTTAAATAACAATTTTGATGATCGTTGCGGACGGACAAGGAATTGAAACAAAATTTTCATATCACTTTTAAACGTGAGATAAAATACTTATTACAAATAAATATATAAGTATGAAGAACTAATAACACCTCTTTTTTATGTCGTTTGGAAAAATATTAGACAAATAAACTGAATAAAAATAACTCGTTAAAAGTGTAACATTTCTTCATAGGACACATAAAATGTAAATGATTTTATTTATTAATTCAACAGATCTTTATAATAATATAAATAACTAATAGACCTATATATTATGTGGATAGGTACGTGTATATTATGTACTGTTTATATGTCTATATTTGAAATACATATAAATAAT